ATTATCTATCTATCTATCTATCTATCTATCTATCTATCTATCTATCTATCTATCTATCTATCTATCTATCTATCTATCTATCTATCTATCTATCTCTTCTCTTCATCATCTATCATCTCTATCTCCCTCCCTCCCTCCCTCCCTCCATCCATTGTATAAATATAAAAAGTGTACAAAAATATCCTTAGGAAACTTTTTTTTTAAAAAATGGCTTTATAAATGCACTTATTTTCCATCAACAGCTGCACATTCTAGGAAGTGTTCAAGACAATGTATTTAGCATCACAAAAGGTTTATTGCTGTTGTGTTAGTCCTGCTTTTTAAAATTACATAATGGTATAAGGTACCACTTGGGAAAGACTTAAAATGGTATGATTACAGATGGAATCAGGATATTGAAGGTCCTAATTTTGACTGCTGTAAATACTATTTTTCTTCCCCATCTCAGCTGGACTCCCAAACTCTCTAAACAGATCTCCCCCTTTCCTCTTGTCAGGTGTATTTATGGATCAGTGCAGATTTTCCAGGAAACATCCTACAATTTAAGAGTCCATAATGCATCTAATGCAAATTCTCTCTTAGGTTTTGCAATACCCAACACTTTTTTCTTCTTTTGCATATTTTTGGATTCATCCTCAAATATGAGGTGAGAAACAACAATTAAATTAATTGAAAGGGGGACTGAGATGATATTTTAATTACCTGGAGTAACTTAGAACATACTATAGACTTGTGGTCTCTATATGATAGACTTGTGGTTCAAATAAGCATTTATTTTCTTCCAGAGAAGTTTGAAAACAGAATGCTGATAGGGTTCAAAATACACATTTGAATCCTCTTCTCAAGGATCAATTGCCAGATTTTTTCCAGAGTTACTTGTGCCAGTTAATCAATATAAAACCAATACAGCTTTGTAAAAGATAAAGGTTCCCCTTGCATATATGTACTAGTCATTTCTGGCTCTAGGGGGCAGTGCTCATCTCTCTTCCAAAGCCGAAGAGCCAGCGCCATCTGAAAACATCTCCATGGTCATGTGGCCGGCATGACTAAACGCCGAAGGCGCAAATAACTTTTTACTTTCCCACCAAAGGTGGTTCCTATTTTTCTACTTGCATTTTTACATGCTTTCAAGCTGCTAGGTTGGCAAAAGCTGGGTCAAGGTACAGGAGCTCACTCCGTTATGCAGCGCTAGGGATTCGAACCGCTGAACTGCTGACCTTTCCAATCGACAAGCTCAGCGTCTTAGCCACTGAGCCACCGTTTTGTAATAGATCTTTGTTCCAAGTTTTGGGATAAAGCCATCAGTTTGTTTCCAAACGGAGCCTGTAGTTTTTTTTCCAACAGACACATTAGATGTGCTTCTTTTTTTTTTAAGACTTTATTTTTTTAGCAAAACAAAAAATAATAATAATAACCAAAAAAAAGCTGCAACCCAAATGTACAGATTAAAAAGATGTACAAAAATGGATTTGATAGTTTAAAAAAAACAAACAACAACCACAACTGCATTTGTGACCGAGGTCAACTCGTTTCAGTTTTCATCAATACTGCGAGATATAGGTTAAAAACATAACTCTACATAATTTATACAGTAAGTTGCCCTCTGACTTCGTTGACCTCTTCGGTAGCGGACTGACAAACGCACAGCGTTCGTGAATCGGTAATGTTTATTTTGCAATTCCCCCAACTTTGTTGAAGTTGGTGGAGTTGCTGTCATTTTATATTAGTTCCATTTTGCATTCTTCAGAATAGCTGTCCTCAATGCATTATACCTTCCTGTTTTATATTTTTTCCTGGTGCTTCCAGAGATATTAACAAAAGCATGTGACTCAATGCACATTCTTGTAAAGTCCTTTCAATGCCCTTAGTTGCTTTAAAATATACATATTTTACTTATATCTCATTCTCTTTTCTTTCCAGTTGAGTGAAAAAACAACAACAACAACAATCCAAGCCTTCATTGGCCTTAAAAACTAAAATTCCAGTTGATTATCTGCAAACCGGGTCTTCAAAATTTGCGAATTTTCTTCAGCACATTTCAAAACAGGGAGGAAAGGAAAAAAAAAACCACCATGATTTCCCATTAGTTTTGGAAGAAACATTCATGTTCTAAAAGTCATACTTATTTTTTTCGAAAGAAGCTTTTTGGCTTAACAATACTCCATCTACAAGTTCTTGGGTGATAACTCACTGCAGAAACTCTTAAAGCAGGTCCTATAAACGAGAAAAGCTTTGAACCCCAAAAAGAAAGGCAGGATACTGGCCCACTGGAGAACTCAGCTGTTCCTTTGAGACTGAGGAAGCAGAGTTAGAAAAATAAAAAAAGGTTTATTCCAATAAAAATTACAATAGAAAATAACAATATTAATATCCAGGTTTTTTTAAAGCTTTCTCCCCAAAGGTATAGATATATAAAAAGTCCAGAGGTTTTCAAGAATGGAAGAAAACATCCAATCGAAACAAGAAACGCCAGCAAAGGTGAAAAGCACCTAGTAGTAGCTGCCTAGGTGTGAGGGCATGTGAGAATTAGCATGGCGGGGGACGTTGGGATTCGGATAAATACTTCCAGTAGGAGAAGTCCAGTAAGGGGAAGCCGCCCCAAAGAAACTAGAGGAAGTGACGGGCATAGAGGATGGATGTGGAGGGACGAAGTTCATTTTCTGCTGGTGGCTGTGGTAGGAAGGCATGTAGGAGAGATCCGAAGGGTATTTGTACATTGAGGATTCGGTCGGGTGAGGCTGAAGGGCTTGCGCAATGCCGTGAAAGTCAAATTTGTAAGCGTATCTCTTGCCGTGCACTTTGGTCATAATGTTCTTGTCGTAGTAATATCGGAGGGCTCGGCTCAACTTGTCGTAATTCATGTTGGGCTTGCTTTTGCGTTCTCCCCAGCGCCTGGCCACCTCATCGGGGTCGGTCATCTTGAACTCCCCATTGGTTCCTTCCCACGTAATGCAGCTGGCGTTCGAGCTGTCCGACAGCAACTCAAGGAGGAATTGCCACAGTTGGATCTGTCCACTCCCTATGAGAGAGAGGGAGAGAGAGAGAGGGAGAGAGAAAGAGAGGGAGAGAGAGGGAGGGAGAGATGAGACAGAGAGATAGAGAGAGGGGGAGAGAGAGATGAGACAGAAAGAGAGAGAAAGAGATGGAGAGAGAGGGGGAGATAAGAGAGAGAGAGAGAGAGAGGGAGGGAGATGAGAGAGAGAGGGAGAGAGGGGAGAGAGATGAGACACACAGAGAGAAAAAGATGGAGAGAGAGAGGGAGAAAGAGATGAGAGAGAGAGTGAGAGGGAATGAGAGATGAGAGAAAGAGAAAAGGAGAGAGAGAGATGAGAGAGAGGGGGGGCGAGAGAGAAATGAGAGAGAGAAAGAGAGGGAGAGAGAGATGAGAGAGAGAAAGAGAGGGAGATGAGAGAGAGATGAGGGATGAGGGATGAGAGAAAGAGAAAAGGAGAGAGAGAGGTGAGAGAGAGAGAGAGAGAGAGGAGGGAGAGAGAAAGAGAGGGAAAGAGAGAGATGAGAGAGAAAGAGAGGGACATGAGAGAGAGAAAGAGAGGGACATGAGAGAGAGAGAGANCGGCCACGGAGACGTCTTCGGACAGCGCTGGCTCTTCGGCTTTTAAATGGAGATGAGCACTGTCCCCTAGAGTTGGGAACAACTAGCACATATGTACGATGGGAACCTTTACCTTTACTTTTACATATAATGTGCCGATAGGTGTAGGGACTTACACTGTAATATTGGTTACCAAGAAAAAGATTCTATGTCTTGCACAATGGGGAGAAAGTGGAAAATATTTTTTTTGGCTGGATAATAAGTGGATTTAAAATTAAATAATTATCATGACAGCACTACTACATAAATGTAAATGTTTCCTTATGTGGAAAACTATATTCAGGATTCAGTCACAGTGACTCTTAGTCGGTTTTGATTAATTTTTAAAAAATGGAAAGCAGAATTAGACTTGGTTAGTCCTTGGCTGTGAAATGACCAGAAAACCTCTGGATTAGATTAGGAAATTAAAAAAAAAATCCAAAGAGGAAAGCAACAGCAAATTAATAAAATTATACGTCTTTCTCCTTGAAATCACCAAGAGAGATTCAAGTAAGATTTTACTTTATGATACAAACACACAGAAATTCAATTGCCCCGTGTTAAATAGGACAAAGGAGCGGTTACGGGAAACTAGGATTAAAATGTGGTTTACTTGTATTTCTGGTAAAATGATCTTAAAGGATTTGGGTCCCTTTCTGTGAGACAAGTGACTCAACAGTGATCATTGTAAGACTGTTTGGCTCTGATCCTCCTCCTCCTCTTCTTCCTCCTCCCCCTCTTCAAATCAGGGTTGATTCCTAATAAACTGCCTGGACAAATCCCCGTATTTTTCTTGGCAAGATTTCAGTAATGCCTTGCCATTGCCTACTTCCTAGAGCAGGAGGGAGGGGGGAGAAAGGGGGCAAAGAGAGGGCAGAGAGAGAGAGAGAGAGACAGGGACAGAGAGAGAGACAGAGAGAGACAGAGACAGAGAGAGACAGAGACAGAGACAGACAGACAGACAGACACACAAACACAAATACACACACACACACACACACACACACACAGACACACACAGACACACGGCCAAGGTCACTCAGCTAACTTTGTGCCAAAGGTAAGGCTAGAATTCACAGTCTCCCAGTTTCTAGACTGGGTGCCTCAACTACTTACTACACCAGACTGCCTCAGATTAACAGAGTTGGAAGGGACCTTATAGGTCATCTAGTCCAACACCACCACCACCCGCTCAAGCAGGAGACCCCACACCATTTCTGACAAATGGCAGTCCAACCTCTTCTTGAAAGCCTCCGGTGATGAAGCTCCCACAACTTCCAAAGGC